TAAAAAAAAAAAAAAACCCCCCCCCCCCCCCCCCCCCGCCAATTTGCTGGTATTTTTATTTGGATCACATTAAATGTACAGTTTAAGTTAAGGAACTGACATTTTCATCATTGGAAAAAAAAAAAAACAATAAAATAAAATTTGTTCTCTACCTACACTACCCCCAAATCGAACTTTGGATTAATAAAAGGCATAATGTGAAAAATACAACTACAAAAATTCATGTAAAAGAGTAAAGGTACAAGAATAGCCACAAGAATAGCCATAGCAATTCTGAAAAAGAATTTTAGAGTCAGTTTGTCAAGTTTCACTAAGTCTGTTGAATCTTTTAATACAAATTACATTGAATTGATACATTAAGAAAGAATCAGATTGAGGGAACATCTAGAATCCTAATTTTTTATGTCATTTATCAATATTACAACCCTAAGTGGGGGGGAGGGTTACTCTTCACTTTTGATATTACAGCTCAAAAAACAGATAAGTACCTTTACCTGTTTTAAGAATTTTGTTAAAGCCCAAGCTCATTTTGAGTTTTAGATTCCCTGATAGTATTCTCATTCACTTGGTCATAAATCTGTGGTTCTATATGTCCTTTAAAGTCCTGAGCACTAACACTATTTGCTGCTCAAAGGTTATTTCTAGCGTGGCTAGAAACACTTTCCTTTTTTCCTTATTTGTCTTGATTTTAAAACTGTAATAAATATTTAAGGTTGGCTGAAAATTAGGCTCTGAATAAGCAAGGTCTTATCACTTTAAGGAATTAATAAATAAACTTCCTCTCATCTGGCAGTTTGAAAATGAGCTGTTTCAGTTTATCCAATATTCTATTGGAAAATGCATTGGAAAGATATTATCAACTTTTGATGAACAAAAATTCAGTTAGTAAACCTTAGTAACATACTATATTAAGCAAATTATTCCATAGTAATACATAATAGTAATCATAGCAAATATTTCTGTAGTACTTATTATGTGTAAGACACCATTCTAAGTGCTTTATAAACTCTAAGTGATTGAATCCTCAATGATTCAGAACATACTTTTAGATACCAAAGTATCTCATGGCCTTGAGGATAAATACCAGCTGCTAACGTATGGACAAGTAGGATAAGGATTTAGGTGTCAGAATGTAAGACACTGCAGATCTTATTATAAATATAAATTGGCCAATTTTATGATCAGATTTCCTATTCTCTCCAAATTTACAAAAACATGCAAAAGCTAGCAAGTTATGAAATTCTGTCTGAATATAAGTTCTGGTTCACTAACTAAAATCTTATGTTTTCTTCTAAACCTTGTTAGTTTGCCCATAAATTTTATTCTAGAGCCACCCCTAACATATACAACCCTAAAAATACACATTCAAAAACAACAATAAAAGTCAAATAAATCTCCAGTGGACATCATGCAGATTTATAAATGGAAGGGTTATACATAATAAAAGATAAAAAATAAGAAAGGCTTTAACAGAACTCCAATAAAAATAGCTGATTTATAAATTGATTTTATGCCACAATCTTTAGAATTAGACATATTGCCACATTATAGGAAAGACACCTTCCATATTACATTTATTAAAATTTCTCCATGTCCCAAGTTTATAAAGTTGACAAGAATTCAGAAGTATAACAATTTGTGCTATTCTAAAAGATTTTGACAATAGATAAATTATATAACGATATGCCTCAAATTTTAGTGTTATGTATTGCTCAAATCACAAATTAATCTGCAGTCTTCAATTAACAATTAAAAGACCCATTGAGCTTAATTTCAAAAGTTTAGTAGCATGTGAAAAGTATATGGAAACTTTTTGTACTATTTTAGCAACTTTTCTGTCTGAAGTTATTCCAAAATAAAAAGTTTTAAACAAAGGTGGCCACTCTGTTTACTCTGAATGTACTCAAATCATTGAAAATTTAGGATATTTAAAGAGATATTGATATTTACCTTAATGCTCATCAGTGATTTTCCTTTTAACAAGACAATTAAAAATAAATATCCTTGTCTATTGATAAAGTAATACAAATCACTCTCTCCTGTGCCCTCCTTCCAATACACATACATTAGAAGACACAGATTTTGAAGAAATGAACTGGGAGTGTACAATGGCACAACCACTTTGGAGTTAAGTTTGGCAGGTTCTTTTTAAGTAAAACATTTATTTACTCTATGATTAGCAATTCTACTTATAGGTATTTAGCCAAGAGAAATAAAAACACATGCTCACAAAAAGAAACTTGTATAAGAACATTCTTGTATAAGACTATTCACAGCAGCTTTATTCATGATAGGTACAAACTGGAAACAACCAAAATGCCCATCGATAGGTGAATATAATAAACTGTGGTATATTCATACCCAGCAATAATAAGGAATGAACTATCGATACAACAAAATGGAGTGAAACAAGCTAGACACAAAAGAGTGCATACTGTATGATTCTATTCATTTTTAATCCAAAATGAGCAAAACTAAACTGGGGTGATAAAAATCAGAAAGTAGTTGCCTCTTGAGGAGCAGTGGTTGAGATGGACTGAAAGGGTATAAGGAAATTCTGTGGAGCAACTGAACTATTCTACATCATGTTTTGTTTTCAACATATGTAATAATTATGAATTAGATATAATACATGTAAATTAAACTTCTATTGAAATGAAATTACACTTCCATTAAAAATATTTTTTTTAAAAAGAAAAACTAATAGAAATAAAAACTGAAGCATTGTAACATTTCTATTTTCAGGATGCTTACCTGTCTAAGAGCTGATCATGTTTTTCTAGAGCATCCTTTTCAGCCATCACTGCTCGATCCTTTTCAGCCATAGCATTATTCCTTGCTTCTCGGAGATTTCTAAAATTTAAATGTAAATTTTAGTTACTTCATAAGCATAAGTATGCAACTTTCAAAGATTCATAAACGTGCTTGATCAGAGTTGTACTATCTGACAATCTTAAGGACCCACCAAAGGTTGGTGACCCAAAGTGTATATATTATATGAATCTGCCTGGTTTGGTGAGCATCTCTAGCAGCATGCAGCAGCATAGATGCAAACATGGCCTATCTCTAAAAGTCATGCTACCTCTCTCCACACTTTTTCTTCACACGGGTTGAAGGGTAGGTTAAGCAGTTTGTATATGCACTAACTTGTTTAATCCTTACCATAATCCAATGAGATAAGTGTAATTGCTCACATATTAGCCACAAGAACAATAAGGTTTTGAAAGATTAATATATGTTCCATAAAATACTTTATGTGAAAGATATATTTTGGAGATCACAAGAATCAAAATGGGAGTGAGAATAGTTGAAACAAAGGACCTTGGAGTCTCGGTTGTACAGGAAGGGAACAAAGTCTGATAGATTAGGAGAAAGGATAAGGGAAAAAGGACTAGAGGTTCTGATAAGATGACAGATTAAGTGGAAATAGTTGTACAAGCAAGATGGAAAACTAGAGATTGCAATTGGAGAACAGTGATTTGTAAGTACAATGGTACTTTCAGCGGCAGAATTTTAGCTGATAACAAGACAGGGTGTGACAATTAGAGAGGCTAAATGAAATAGAGCTGAAATGAAGGTCAATATTCATGTAGAGGTCAAGGAAGTATATAGCCAGGGTATTAGATAAGTCATCCACTTACAGTGGTGATGACAGTACAAACTGAAATGGACAGAAAGGTGCATTTAGTGCCAGTTAAGGGGAGTGTCCAAAAGGTGGGAAGGTAACAACAGCGAGTAATTAGTAGATTACACAGACAGGCATGGGTCTTCAAAGATTAAATTCTGTTTGTGTTTTAATGAAGATAAAACTTTGGATCAAGAAAAAAAAAAAAACAGCAGTAAGCTTCTTTCAGAGTCAACTAATGTTTCTTTTTTAATCTCCTTCTCTAACAGTTATAACACAAATAAATATGGAGTATAACATACATAAATGATTTAGCTAACTTAATCCTATACTGTATTTTCTAACCTACTTTACAGCTGAGTAAACTAAAGTTTAGAGCGCTTACATGCCTAGCTTAAAGTCACACAGTCCTAGTGTTAAAGGCCGTAATTTGAAACCAGCTATGTCTTACTTGAAAGCCAGTACTTTTTACATCATATCGACCTATCTTCATAAAGAATTGGATTGGCTATTAGAATTTGGGTTTTTATTATTCATAGAGAATGTCAGTAGGGAGTCATGAAAACTCACACAGTTTGAATAAATCTACCTAATAAATATTGGATTGAAATGCTTAGTGGTTATATTTGCTCTGCCAGTACTCAATGTAGTCTTTCGCATGGTAATGCTAACAACAAATTTAAAATTTAAAACATGTCAACCATTAGAGATTCGTCAGTAAAACAGCTTATGAGCCAGACATAAAATAATTTTTTTAAAAAACTGGGATACAGGCAACTCTTATTAAAAAGAATACAAACTACTTTTGTACGTTATTATTCTAGTGGAAGTGCATTCTAAAGTAGCTATCACAAAATGGCATGTTGTTATTTTCTGATGTCATCCTGGTCGCAATGATCTTTTAAAACATTCTATTATCAAACCAACTGAAACATGAAAAATTAACTTTATAGATAGAATAAAATTCTCAAAGTATATTAAACATTTATGTGTTTTTCATCCCTAGATGACCTAAATATTTTAGTCAGTAAATCACCACAAATTGGTTTCAATTTTCATTTCTCAAATATAGCCTCGTTATTCTTTATGTTATTTCAGTAGCAGAATCCCAAGTAGGTCACATTTACAGTGCTAATTAATCATGAATGCTTAGTTGGTAGATAGCGACACTTCAGTCCCAAACTATATTTCCTTTCTTACAACAATGGACGTTAGAAATAAAAGCAAGCCACAGGGAATGAAATAAAAACCGAACAAGCTAATATTAGGGCTTGTAAGAGGAGGTATAATCAGTGGGTACTAGTAGATTCTCCAAGCCACAATCTATATCATCTAGCTACTAATAAGAGCTATATTAAGGCATTAACAAAATTTTATGGTCATGAGGAGGAGAAGCTGATTATTTTTAACTGGAGTAAGAGAGGTAAGTGAATACAGAAAAACATTTCAAAAAAGCAGCATGTAAGTTGGACTGTGAAGGACAGACACATAAGGCAATCCAGAAAAGGAAAACTGAAATGAATGGGAGAAGTGCTAGAAGCTGAGGCTTCTACCAACAGGTCCTTTCATAGTTATTTGCAGATAAGATTTCTGTATAAGCCCATTCTCCTTATCAGGTGCCACACCTTCCATATCCAGTCCACAACCTGTGTAGTTTAACAAAGCAGCCTAATTCCTTATAATGAATAAAAATAGATACTTCTTTTAATATTATCAATTGACATGTTTCAAATTAAGTCTGAGAAAGAGAAATGGAATGTATTCTTCCACTGATAGTAACAGTAATAGCAATTATATGGAGTGTTTACCATGTGCCAGGAGTTGTTCTGGGCACTTTACATATAATAACTCATTTAATTGTCACAACAATCCCAAAAAGTGTAGGTTGTATCATTATTTCCATTTTACAAATGAGAAGACTGAAACACAGAGAGGTTAAGTATTAGCCTAAGATAACACAGTAAGCAAGCTATAGAGCACAAAAATCTTCTTAGACATTATTAGATTTATATTACATGATCACCTCATGGCACAAATAGATGTTAAATCAAAACAAGCCTTGAAAGAATTGTGAATATATTATACATTTGCTTTCATGGCCAAGAGTATGTAACATGAGCTTTCAAAATAAAACTGGTTTGATAAAACACCAGTGGATTGTATTCCTGCCACAGATAAAACAATAACTTCCATATAACAAATGAATTATCCATTTCTAAATGTTAAATGCATTAGGAAATGTAACAGAAATAGAATTACAGAGAAAATAGCAGGAATACAAATGTTCTTCAAAAGAGAAGCTTGGAAGAATTGGTAGAAGCTATCTGTAGCATCCATAAGTTAATGCAGCTCAAGTTGAAACTGAGTGTATAACCAAAAGTAACTATAAAAACAGAGAAAGATGTTGGTGGTTGGCCAACTGGCCAACATTATAACAAATGTTTTAAAATACAAAAATCTGAATATATCATCCTTAAAAGTATTTTTACAGCTAAGATTTGATTACAAAACTGTATTTTTCATGATTCTGTCATGTTGTTTCCTACTAACTCCATCTCCCATATACATACACATACTTCTCCCATCCACCATATGTTAGTGTATGGGAGGTGGATTGAGAGAAAAGATGGAATAAAAGGGAAAAAGAATCTTAAATCCCATGTGAAATGGACAGGGAAAGTGAGTACCCTACTGTTATAACTAGAGTGTCCAAATAATGTATTTTTCAACTTGGGTCACTTTTATTTTCTATTTTATTAAATTTATTTTTCCTTAATTGACACATAATAATTGTACATATTTATGGGCATATTATATTTGGGCACATGCGTATAACGTGCAATGATCATTTCAGGGTAATGAGCATATCCATAACCTCCAAACATTGATCATTTCTTTGTGTTGGGAACATTTAAAATCCTCTCTACTGGCTATTTGAAATTATAGAATAAATTGCTGCTAACTGTAGTCTCCCTTTGTATATAATACTAGAACTTATTCTTCCTATTAGCTGCAATTTTGTACCCACTGACCATCCTCTTCCTATCCTTGCCTCCTTACCAATGTCTAGTAACCACTATTCTGCTCTCTACTTTTATGAGATCAATTTTTAGCTTGCACATGTAGTATTTCTCCTTCTGCAACTTGGGACATGTTTTAGAGTGAAAGAGGGAGCTATTAATAACTATGCCAGAGAAACAGGCATAAACCAGGACTTTCTTGGACAAACTGGAAAGTATGGTTACTTAAATTACAGTATTCAAATGAGAAACTTAAACAGTCAAGTTCTTAATTAATTCCCTAAATGAATGGGTTTTAATATTACAATAAAATAGACGTATTTCATATGCAATATAATGCCATCTGTGCAGATTTATCTGAAAGTATTTTACAACTGAAAACTTGAAAACTTCAGTATCAAACATAAAACAACAGACTACTGTGTAAGAAAAATGGTTAAGAAAAGTGTTAGAAGAATGAAAAAAACTTAAGGAACCTTTGAAATTCTAATAGGAACATATCAGCGTTTGGCAGTGCCAGAAGCATGTCTTAGCCTGAATAAACATCACTAATGCTTCAGAACTTGAAATTTACCAAGAATAAATAGTGAAAACAACATGGCTATCTGGTACTGGTCAGTGCCAAAAAAACCAAAACTAAAACTGAAATTAAAAAAAAGCTGTCAGAAGAGCTCAGTAGGCACAACAACTAAGCAATCTATTCTTCTCCTACCTTCATGCATGTAAAAATATTTTTGGTTAATAAAAACGAATATATTTTTCCAGTTGGAACAAAAGGGATTAAAACAGGCTATTTTATATGACAACCTTATTTATAGGGAAAGTGTTTGAATTAATCACCTCTACCTTTGGATTCTTCTTCCTGGACAAAACATAAAACTGCTCATTTCTATATCTGATGCCTTTGTTTTCAAAATGGCATAAAATAGAAGGGATGCAAGTGTGTTATCTTCTGTTTATAACCAATGACTGATAATCTTACCTTTAATTAACATAGATGGTTGTAAATCGAATGAATAGAACACAAAAACAAAATGAGCAAAGTGAAAATCTTAAATAAGATATAATTTTATTAAATAATAAAATTTCTTGGGGGTGGGGAGCTGTGCATTTTAAGAGAAACTTTTCAAGATCACTGTTGACTTGAAAATACTACATTTTCCTATCCTTTTATTATAGTTGATACCATGGCTGGAATGTTTGTCCCC